CCTACTTCTGTGTAGATAATACATATTGAGCACTCATGATGTGCCAGGTACCATGCTAAGCACTTTACTAACAGTGTCACATTTAACTCACATCTGAACCCTATGAGGAGCTTGACCATCCTTATTTTACAGATGCTGTGACTGAGGCACAGGGAAGTTAAGTAACCTGTCCATGGGTGCACAGCTAGTAAGGTGCAGAGCTAGGTTCGTTAATGAGGTTTCAGAGTCACGCTCTTACTCACTATGGATCTACTGCAGAACTTTCTGCCAGGTTCAAAATGCTCTGTGCTCATATGGAGGACGCTAGCTGTATGTAGTCACTGAGCTCTTGAAATGTGACTAGTGCGACTGAGAAAGGGACTTTTAAATTTTACTTAATTTTAATTCATTTGAATTTAAATAGCTGCACCTGTCCAATGGCTGCCATGTTGGACACTGCAGGTCTATTCTACCTTAAAGACACTGCATAGGTCCTTTGTTTTGAGGTTGGAGATGACGTTTGCCCCAGTATTCGGGCAGTGCACAGCCTGCAGAGGGGAGAGCAGGGCTATGCTAATTATAAAGCATAAGTCTCTGGAGCAAACACTTGAGTTTAAAGCTCAGATTCTATCATTCACTGGCTGTGCCCACAGTACATCAGTTTAACCCCCCTGTGCATCTGATCTCTTTTTTGGTTTAGTAGGCATAATAGCATGTGTGGGGTCAATGTGACCATCAGGTAATACAGCAGATGAGAGAGTGCTCCGCATACACTTAGTACAGTCAGAGGTGGGGTTGTAGCACACACACACACAAAACTTACAAGAAGTCCTCTTGCCATGCTTGGTGGGAGAAGAGAGGAGAGGGAAAGGGCTAGTGTGCTAGTATGAATGGGGCAGGAGAGAGGTCTCCCATTTGCATTCCACCCAGTGAGCATGTATATGTTAGAGGATGAGCAGATGACAGACACAAATCTGTTTTCTCATCTCAACAGACTCTCAGAGTCTCAGTGTGGCATTCTAGTGTTTACATGTGATTTTTTCCTAATGCCCTGCCTTTAGGACTTAATCACCACCCCAGCCTAAGCTAAATAAGGGTCCTTAATGTTGTTTCCCTTGAACCAAATCTGCAGGCTATTCTGATGATTGTTTTTATGCCTGAGTAGCAAGGCTCCTCCTCCCAGCCAGCTCTTGGGAACATTCACGCCCTTGCTAGCTCACTGCAATGCACACATGCCCTCGTCCTCTCCTCGTCTCTCTTGCTCTCTTGTGTATATGCACATGTGTGTGTTCTCTCCCTCTGTACTGGTTTCCAATCTAATTGTCTCTCGCCTCCAAGCCTGCTCTGCTCAGTGGTGGTGGGGCTGCATCCCCACCTCTCCTGGGCCAGCCAACAGGGCTGCCACTTGGTGACTGGAGGGCAGAGGGAAGGAAATGGCCTCCGTCTTTGATTTCCATCCTGCCGCATTGTGGTTTCTCTATGTTCCCAGCAGCGGTGTCTTCAGGTCCCTTCACAGACGCCAGGGCAGCCAGCCAGCATCCAGTGCCCCCTCCTCAGCGGTCTGGGTTCCCCTCATCCAAGTATGTCTGTTTTCACACTCCCAACTTCTTTCCTTAGATCGCCCAGCCCCAGAGTAGGAGCTGCTCCCCACAGTTCATCATCCCTGAAAACCTCAGAGCCCTTTTGCCTCTGTGATTGTCCAATGCCTGGTTAAAGAGTGACAGGGTCCAGGACAAGCTACCCCAGGACAGGCCACCTGAATGCTTTAGGCTGCAGGAGTGTGAGAAAATGGCAGGGGCAGGGAGCTTGCTCTGATCTCTGCCCCCTCACCCTTCTTCCCTGGAACAGGTCAGGTCACAAAACCCCCATGCGAGGGGTTTCCCTACAGCCAGAGGAGGGGAGCCTCCTTATCTCCAAAGGCAAGGGGACACCAGTTAGAATACTAGCCAGCAGGCTGGCCGCGGTCCCGGGTGGCCCGCCTCAACCCCCTCGGCCGCCCGGCCTCCACCCCGCCCATTCGCGGCCCTCCTGCAATAACCGCATGCGTCCCGAGCTGCTCCTTCCCGCCTTCCTTTCCGTGGGACACCTCCACGTCATGTGACGCTTACATTAACTACATGTGCACGCTTTTCTCCTTCTCATCTGTCCTCAACAGGTTAATCTTCAGACCTAGGTGGGGGCTGAAAGGAGTCGAGGAAAACTTTCTCCTCCCCTGCAGAAGTCTTCATACTAATTCCTTCTGTGAAAGTACCTTGTGCAGCTTCTGCCTCCTGAGAGCACCCAACCTGATGCACTCTTTCTGTCCATCTTCCATGGAAAAACGCTGCTACTGTTAACGTAAGAACGTATGAGCGTGTCTGACATTTTTCTTTTCACAGATGAAAGCTATCAATAAATCATCAACATATCCTGACATCTATTCTAGATCTCCTCTGCATAGCATCTAAATACAGGATAGAAAAAAAAGAACTAGAGTAATACAAAGAACTAAATGATACAAATCCTATCATTTGGTTTATTAGAGAGTAATGAGCCCCTGAGGTGCCCCTTCATTCCTGGGCACATCCGCCAGGGCTCCTAAAAGTCAGGTACCAAGGCTGTTTCCATTAACAAAGATCAACAGGTGGGAGTGGCTGCTGGGCTCATGAACTAAAGCCTAGGGGCAGGTCCTCTGCAGTGCTTCATCAGCAGCTCCTATACCGGAGGAACAGGGCCCTCTGCAGGGAGTTTGTAACTTCCCCCACCTACCAGCTCTCTCCAGAAGGGACATACATCCAATATAACATGGTACAATATAACTACAGTGCAATAAAATATAGCACAACATAAGAGAAGACTATTACATCAGAAGCATGTAGAGACGCTGACCGTGAGCACCCCACTCCCCACTGCATAAGGCTGCCAGTCTCATCCTTATTAAATACAGCAGGAGACCTGGACGGAACCTCCACGACTTGCTGGTCACCTCCCACCTCATCAGCCTAGCCCCCTTGTATCTGCAGTCACAGTGAGGTCTCATTCTCCAGAAATGACTCCTGTGGGTGAACCAGGACCTCCTTCCAAGGTGAGATGACTGTCCCAGCACCCGTGGTGTGGCTGGCCCACTTGTTAGCTCCACCTGAACTGCAGCCCTAGCATGTCTCCTGGATCAGCGGCCATTGTAACTCAGAGCAGCCATCACAGCCTGAGTCCTAGACTCCAACCTGCCTCTCATCTTCAGTTTGTGTCCCCTGACAGCTGGATCTTCTTCCCTGTGCCACTTGAGCCACACTCCTTCAAGGAACTTGCCTAAAAAGCCTGTATAGGCCCTGGTTCCAGTGTCAGCACTGGGTCTTCATAGACAGTGGGTTCCTCGGTGTTGGAAACTGCTCTCCTTTCCTTTCCAAGCCACTGCTCACACTGATGCCTGCACTGGAGCTGGGTTGGCGGTGCCCTGCACTTACCCTCTGGCCTGCCCAAGGCCAATCTCCGACTGCCATTAGCTGCCTCTCTTTGCACGAGGGTGTCTTCCAAATCCATCTGTCTGGACATGGAAGTCCAGGATTATCTGGGTGTTAGCTCTTCCTAGAGGAATCCACAACCAGTGGCTGATAGTCTGGAGGATAAATTTGAGTACAAGTTTTTAGCTGTTCACCAGAATTTCCCACAGGCCTGAGAATCAGTGTCTACAGGCATCCACAGCTGCCCAGTGACACACCCTTGATAGGCTGCCTTCCTTTCTCTTTCTTCCCCTCCCTTTTTGGTGCACCCAACATTTTCCCAATAAAGTACTTGTTCTCAAATCCTTGTCTGAGGGTCATTTCTAGGAAATCAAAACTTAAGACAGTGGAAAGCTACCTTTTTCCAGTTCCAGTCACATCAGGCATTTCAGCAAATGCTTTAATTTTATGTACCTATAGATACATGAACATAAATATGTATTCCCAGGCTATGTTAATTGGATTTATAAATAACAGATGATACATGGCTGGCTGACATTTGAGTTTTCATGCATTTTGCTTTGTGCTGGTTCTGTCTCTCCAGTAAGTTGATAGATAACATGCTCAAAGGCCAGGGGTGCACCACCTCCTCCTTCTATAATTTTCCACGATGCCTGGCATGATGCTCTGCAGAGTGAATATTCAATCAAGGTTGACAGACAAGAGACCACAGAGGTCAGGTTCCTTTGTCCCACGGGCTTGTCAAAGGTGAGAAAGCTCCTGAGAGAAGGAAATTGTGATGCTGTTTTCAACCCTTTGAAGGATGAGCCTGGAAGGCCAGCATGGAAGCTGCCACAGAGACAGGGCACCAAGTCAGGACGCCGGAGTCATGCAGAGCTGCTGCATCATCAGATATGTCCCCTTGGCCTGTCTCTTAGCCAGAGTCCAGACAGAAGCAAACTGACCAAGATGAGCTGGATGGACCAGATGCAACTCCAGAGATACCGTTCCTGACAATCTTGGGCTGAAACAGGCAAAGAGGAAGCCTTACCTTGGCCTGTGATATTCCAGGAGAGAAGTTTTGGGACAATTAGCAGAGGCAGACAGTGGTGAATCCTAATACCACTAAGTACAAACACCCCTGTGTTGGCTTTGGGTTCTCATCCTTCCCTTTGGTCAGAAAGACTTCTGCCCTTTCTGTTTGTCTACTTCCCTTCCTAACTAGAATAACAGCTGGTTAATCAGGCTGGTTTATTCTAGCCCTGGAATCTTTATTAACTAGCTCCTGCAGGATTTACAGATTCTGAAGGACCTTCTGAATCAAAGAAAGGTGAAACGACACTCAAGAGTTATTTCAGAAAGGAGTATTTTGTTGCATTATTTTCTAAGCCCTTTACAACTGACAAACCAGATAAGGTATTGATTAAACGGATCACTCCATATCCTCACTTGGCCGCTAACACAGTTCACTGTGGCATTCCTGTGGCCCTCCCTGGCTGCAGCTCGTGCCTCAAGAGCGAATGGCCACCGACAGTCTCCCACACTCCACCCCTCATGGGGACATTGCTGTAGCTCCAGGGGCATGGGGGCAGGCCTGCCCACAGAATGCAGCTGACCACCAGTTCCGGAATTCTAAAAGAATACTTCTAAGGCTTTATTGAGGAAATCACAGCAACATATGGCATTACATAAATCCTACTGATTGAGGAAAACAAATTCTATAGCAGCTTTCTAAAAATAATCCTAATTTGAATAGGCAGTCCAGCCCTTTACAGAGCTCAAATTGTTTTTTTTTCCTCCCCCTGTCACATGGGAACTTGAAGAAGCCACAACAATGACCGGCAGACAGAGCAATGGGTAATTCATCCAGAAATGACCGCAAACAGAATAATAAACAGCTAGCTGTGGGGATGTCGGGATATCGGGAAAGAAGGCATCATTAAGAGGGTGGGGAAGGGATTCACAGTGATGAGCAGAGATCAGAGAACTCTAAGCACCAAATATGAAGCCACACATCACAAGTTCACCATCTTCCTCTAACTTCTACCTCCACCTACAGGAAGTGCTTCGTCAAATAGCCAGATAAATTCATTCAGGAAACAAATAATCATTCACATGAGATCCACAGCCAGAACAATCACGTCTCAGAGTGAAGTTCTAGATGATCTAGTCAACTCAAAAAGATTTTGCACATAATTTAAGGGAGAAATTTGCTGCTAGGTTTTCTCACGTGTGAAAAACACAATACCAAATAGAGTGTTTAGTTACAGCCACCTTCAAAGCTGCAAGTCTCCTGAGAGCGACCTCTGGCAAAAGGGAACAAAGAAACACATTTCCATTAAGCTTGCTCACTCTCCGGAGTTTCTGCATGCATGAGTGCCATGGCAGCATGGACATGTTATCACGTTATCAATGATTCTGTCCACACAGAGGGGAGACTTCTTAAGTGCTAAAAGTCGTTTTTAAAATATTCCATACTATCACAAATTGTGCTCAAGTCTGCACTGAATTTACCATTGGCTATTTAACCTGTAGTAGGTTACAATACTAAACATGGCACGTTGGTAGTTATGTCTGAAGTAGATGAATATTAAAGGATGACTTATTTAAAGTCATTCCAATTCTGAAGGCAGTTTAACATCTCACTGCCTTTGTTTTAAAGCTTCCTTAAATGTCTTGCTTCACCCCCAAACTGCATTCATCCCCTCACCGCCTCTGAGTGTTATGCATCAGAATGGACAAGGAATTATTTACTGTGTGGAGCATTTTTATGTTGAGGATGGTCAGTGCCTCAAAGAAGCCTACAAACACCTAATTAAACATTTGTATACACATTTTTTGACTTTGGCAACTGGAGTGTAAACTCCCTGAAAACTGGGGTTGTTGTTGATTCATGGTCTTTTGGTAATTTTCATAGTGCCTAGTAGAGTGCTGGAGACTGAGTTAAGGTGACTAAGTTTTCAAATAAAAAATCAGATCCTCACTGACATAGGATATCTTGCAACATGGGTTAGGCATGCCCCAGGCTTCCAAGAGGAGGCTCCAGAGAGGTGTGTCCCTGATGGAGATCTTCCTGGGGGGCTTCCAGGTTTTTCTCAATGGCCCCCTCTCACTTTATCTGCAACCCCCTTGCTGAAGAAAGACAGAGACTAGGAATGAAATCGTAAGTGCCAGAATGCTACATATGCAGCTCACTGATGTCGATACTGCAAAGAGTCTTCCAGATCACAATGGGAAAGAGGCCCTAACAGCCCTGTGTGGTTAGCCTCAGGGCAGGCACAGACCTAAATGTTTTCAGTCTTCTAAGCTTTATCCTTTCCCTCTTGGCTCTTTGCAGACTGCTGCTCACAGGAAACTGAGAGGAGCTGGTAAATTTGTCTTCCTTCAGCAATTCTGGAATGGAGCTCAGTGACTTGTCTTGGAGAGGCACCCAGGAAAAAAGAGGAAATTCTGCTCCTAACTATGAGGTATTGGTATCCAGCTATGTAATGGCTATTTATCCAGCTGATGTAACTTTAGACAATTCTGGGGTTCGACTGCCTCATCTATAAAATGGGAATACTAAATGTCTTGATTACACTGAACACTATGTATTTAGACATAATGCAATTGCTCTAATCCACTGGAGCTGCCCATGAGAAAGTTCCCTTTGCTATAGGTTATTAAGGTGAGTCCAAGGGAGTTTATTAAGGCCAGCACTCCAGATGGGTTCAAGTGAGTTTTTGCATCCAATTTCATACCAGTAAATTTCCAATCTATCAATTGTTCCAAAGCTGTGACCCAGAGGAAGGAAGCTCCCACTCAGGAAATGAATACAAACCGAGTTGACATTTGTCTGTGTGTGGTCCACCCAGATGCAAACAGATTACTCAACCGGGGCAAACACGCAAGGGGCCCGCACCAACCCCAAATGGTGGCAGGGCCAATTATCACTCAGCTCGCCTTCCTGGTTTTAAAACGTCACTTGTGCTGGAGAAATGCTATCTGTAAAAACCCTGAAAAAGAGAAACACACCACTACCGCTTTATCTCCAATGGATGTCATGAGGAGGAAGCCAAGGAGAATAACCAACTTGCTGTGCTGTGAAGCAGACCTTTAAACCCCTTGATTTTTGGAAAAGTATCTTTCCTTTAATCCACAAATCACAAACTCAAGTGAACAGAAAGGCCCTGGGGGTAATACAGACAGATGAAGAGGGCCGGGTGAGCACTGTGTTAACTTAACAGCATGGCAGTCAGTCCGGCGTCCACTTGCCATAGAGGGACTACGGTGGAGAGATGCTAAACCTTTCCATTTCTTAAGAGAAACCAGAAATACAGATTATCTATGGGACACTTCCTGACATTAAAATGCAACAAAATTTTTTAATTATTGCGCAGGCAAACAAGACATATCAATGGGCCAGATTTGGCTTGCAAGTTGCCAAATTCTTAGGTTTCTTACATAGATAAAATTACAGAAATAGTAAAAGTCAGTCAGTTTCCAGTGGTTCTGATGTCAATAGGGCATAGTGGAAGGGTATCAGCCTGGAGATCAGGAAACCTGTGTATTTGTCCTGGATTTCCAGGCACTTGTGGGGAAAAGGTGGGCGATCACTTTGCCTCCTGGAGTCTCCACTTCCTTCTCTCTGAAACGGAGCCAGATTGCAAGGCTGCTGTGAGGATGACATTTAAGTGGGTTAAAATACATGAGAAGCACTCGGTACAGCGCCTGCTATATAACCATGATACACTTGATAGCTCATGTCCTTCGACCAAAAATTTGGGATAATAATAATTTTACCTTAAAGGAACTGTCCTTTGAATTTATGTGGGATAATATAAGCAAAGGGCTTTTCTATATTTTTATGTCAGTGCCTGACAGAGAGTAAGCACTCAATAAGTGTTTGTTATTATGATTATTTGTAACAAAGCAACATGTTCTTAGATCCTAACTTTTACCGACATGGCCACAGACACCCGGAGAAAAAGACAGGAGAGTCAAGTCTCTGCTAATGTGTACCAAAGTCAGAATCAAGAAACAGGTTTCCTGACCCCTGATGAGTAGATTTTTCCATGAAGCTCTACTTTCTACTAAACTCCTGGTTCATGAAGTGTTTATTCTCTGTTCCACCAGTATATCCAGTATTAAACAATAGGCTGGTGCTATTTTTGTTGTTAATGATCAATGAAATTGATATGACTGTGTCTTAATTTATTGATAAAGGGGGAAAGGACAGAGGGGAAAGACACTGACTTTCTCTATTAGATAAAATT